TAGCAACTACCTTTCCACACATTATGGCTTTATGGAACATGCCCGAACCAAATACCATGTTCAGCAACCGACACTCCCGGGATTTTTGTACATCTACTCACTGCTCTGATCTCTATGATCTACATACTCATCTGCATATATAGGCAAACAAAAACTTTGGATTCTTCATTTGCCACTACAACACCCGCCCCACACAGCAAAGGAATTCTGGAAGCCAAGTCGGACCCGATGACCCGATGAACGATCAAGCAGCAACTGTCGGCCGATGCTTCCGCCACAAAAACCCACCATCGAAGCTGAACATCACCAACCACCGGCACAATCTGCTTGAGTCCTGAGTATTCAACGAAAGACCTTTGTATATCGTATCCTCGGTGATTTTCGGCCAACGGAACAGCTGTGGCTCCGAAGGGCGAGTGTCGGCCGCGCGGAAAGCTTGCGCCCGGAGCGGCGCCTCTTCGTTTCGATGATGACTTTGGCCTCCAAACAAGACCCAGTCATCTTGAAAGCCTTCAGAAGCCCTTTTGGCACTTAAGGAATCAGGGATAATCAGTTTGTCTGGTTTCTTGTTGGTTGGCAGCTGGATCTGTTGGATAGCCTTTGATTGGCCAAGGAAAAAGGATAGATTATTTAATATCTCATCAAGGTATTTCTGCATGTTGCTGCTCCATCTCCAGCTCCAAGACTGGATATCGTCAAGACTCGCATCGTGGCGAGTCTGTACAGAGTAACAGGCATGAATTGTTTCTTTCAAATGAAAAATGTGATCGTGTGTTCAAAGGCTGCATGATAAGAACACATTTGCTTCTCTTATTTGACCACTTCGCACCGACACCACCTCGCCAGCCCCAGAGTCATCCGACACCAAGACTGGAAAGCGTGACATTGCATTGGTCGTTCACGGGCAAAGATAGCTGAGCAGTTTGCGAGTTTGGGTGATCTTCTTCCTACAACAGCCTGGACAGCTAGAAGAGAACATGATACTCCATCAGATTGGTCATCTCTAGTTGCCAGGCATTCTACATTTTTAGATATGTAGTGTATTTTGGAGCCACTGTAACTCTAAAGAACCCTAAGGGCACCCAAGACCCACATGACATCCTCCTGCACCCTGCACCCCATGTCCTCGTTCATCTGAACGATGGGTCACAAGCACATCCTGCCGGTGGGTGCCAAGGCACCACATCTCAGTGGTCGCTGACTTAGTTGTCGTGACACGGAACGCAGGACCCTTCAGGACCATTCTTCCAGCTGAGGGTCCCTCACATCTGGGACCGACAACGGGTGAGTTTCGCAACGGGTGAGTTTTGGGGGATTTGTTTGACCCCAACAATCTGCAGAAATCATGAAGCCAACATAGAGAGTGCTTTTGGGGGATTTGTTTGGAATAATGTCAAGATTCCAGATGTTATGGTTACCTCCAATGTCAAAATTAGTATTGTTAGCTCTTTTGGAAGCGTGTATATATATAGTTATATAACTAGTAATAATAATATATATTATGTTGATTAAAGGTTGCAAATATTTTATGCTTGTGGAATTGGTCATTTGTATGTTTGTGTGTGCGATTGTTTGTTGTTTGTTGTTGTTTGTTGTTTGTTGTTGTTGTTGTCGTTGTCTTTTTGGATTGAACACTTCGGTGATTGTGTCATTGCTGAGTTGTTTAATGAATGATTGATATATTATGTATGTTTTTCCTTCAGCCAAGATTGAGTGCCGTTCCTTTTTATTTTGATTTGTGTTTGGTGTTCTTTGTAGAGGGAGTCAGTATGTCAGATATATGTGAACTGAAGCCTTGTGGCTAGCATTTTCACCTAACTTTGACTTTCTATGTTCTGACTGCATATCCTTCATTTTTCTTGGGACTCTGTCTTCCTCGAAAATGCAAGTCCATCAACATGTGCAAAGTAAAAGCACAACCACAAAAGCAGTCTTTCTGGAGTTCCAAAAATTTGAAAAGCCACAGATCCCAAAAAATATCGTTCTAAGAACAATGTATCTTGTAGAATTCCCCTGCAATCAAACCTCAAAACTCAATATATAAGAATCATTTGGCAGTGTAGCTGGGGAATTGGCAGTCATCCGTCACCTTACTTCCTGCCAACTCGCAGGCGAACCCCTCTCCTGGGTGGAATTTTCATGCATAGCTCTTGGGGCGCATCGACCCAAAGGATACTCAAAGTCCAATACGCAGGCGACGGGTCCAACGACTACGGATTTCGCTCGTGTTCCAAGTCAGCTGACCCGTTCGCGTCAGTTGACTTAGGTGGAAAACTGGACCACCAGAGCTGTGGGTTGATTTAATCCTCCTTCCTCCAGAGTATGTGTTACGACCATCTACAGCAGTTCTTAGATGTGATCACTGACTGGTCCAATATGATAATTCCTGCATACTATTTGCCAGCAATGGTGTGATTGTGGGTGATTTGAAGATGTGTTAAGGGTCTGAGTCAATATTGGTTAAAAGAAAAAAAAACTTGAATATTCCATACATGGATGGTCCGATCTATATTTGATAACACACGACTCACACGACACATCAATAGCTTGTCTGTCAACGGATTTGGTGCCAACATCAATGTACATACTTTGCACAGGAACCATTTGTTTGCCTGTAGCACCAGTACAATCATATGCCGCCAAACATGAGATCGAGCAGCTGGAAATTGCTCAGCCATCTACCATTGTCGCGTCATTTGCCCAGTGTTGTTTTGTACGTATATATAACCCAGAACATTCTTGGAACGATGTAGCAATCTTTTTGGCCGCATCGAATGGTGACTTTGGAATCATGTGCTTCTCTAAGGTCCACGTTATTCTCCCCCTGTAGAATCATCTTTGGGAGAGTAGCAGTAGATTGTCATGTTGTACGATCCACTTTGTCAGCAATTGGTAACCATGTATAGCAAGTTTCCAGCCAAACCAACGCTTCAAAGAACTTGCCTCCGGCTGCTCAAAGCTATACTGGAGCATGTCGATGGTCATCCTGCCACATAAGCGATGAAGCAAATCATTTGCACATGAGGCTGGGTCCAAATCCACTATGATCTATCCAACACCGTATATTTTTCTCTGGGGATCCACATCCATCAAGCATTCTCGAACTGCAGGGTGACATGACTAGTGAAACCTACGTGATGTGGGCTTCGTGACCACCTGGTCGGGGGGAGCAGTCCAACTCCACTGAAGCGGTCGACCAATCTCTCACCCATGAAATAGTAAACGAATAGAACACCCATTTAAAACTTCTTGATACCGCTTGTAAACGAACTTTTACATCATGGCAAAACCATGTAGAACCATGTAAGTTTTAAATCAAGGCGTTTTTATGTTTTACTAATTCGATTGTAAAAACCTCTTTGATATCTCTTGATTATTAGAGGTGCAAACCTATTCATCAAGAGTCTACATACTGAGCTCTAGTCAGCTGTGTCTGGCACCTCTTGCAACTGAGGTGCTTTGCTGAGTTTTGGAGAGAACACCAGATCTTTCTCAGCGTGTAAAGCAAAAATAGGCGACCTGCTAAGGTCGCTAGGTGACATGCCGTGCATGCCGCTACCATCGGAGTGGATCAACAAATGTCTCAAAAAACGTGACTTGAGACATGCTAAATCGAAGCAACTCCCTGAAAGGACCAGCACTGCCAAGGTCGAGTACCCCGTTCGCATGCAAAGCACCATGCAAAGCACACTGCCAAGTGTTGATCCCATAGAAACAGTGGACTGAATCAAACATACAGAACTTGTGAAAAGGATAACCGTCCATTGAGACTACATCCAACAGCATGTTTTGGAGCCATCTTTTTGAAGACTATATTATATATATATATATATCGTGTACCATGGTGTACAGCAACAGGTTCGGACTCCACTTTTCTCACAGCACATGCGGCAAAGGTCCAAACGGCTCAGCGGCACGCTTGTGGAGGCTGGCCACCTCCAGGCAAGGGACTGAGGGGACGGATGTGGACACCTCTGGCTTGTTGGCTTGCTTGAAGGGTTAGTTCCAAGAGGAATCCCATGGAATCCCACCAAACATCCCAAACCCTTTGGTTCGCTGGACACGCCTGTTCACGCCCGACCGCTTGGCCCGTCCAGGACCGGAACCGACCGCCTCTTTGGCTTCGAAGCCCTCCCCATGCTGCGAGGCCCAGCCATGTGGCCGCACGGTGATGTTCCAGTCCCAACCGTAAACACGCTCCAGGTAGCTGGCAGCGCCCGAAGGGACCCGGGCCACGGTGAGACCAAAGGGAACCTCGTAGAAGCTCTGGAGCTCCCAACCTGCAGCCCGCACCTACTTTGTTAAGTAGGCGCCTACTTAATTAAGGGAGTAAGCTACTATCTACTTAAGCTACTACCTATGGACACAGGATAGCTCATGCTTCTTCAAGGAAGCTCCCCCGCCTGAGCACTGGGGTGAGCTTACTTGAAGAAGCGCTCGCACTAATCATTTTGGTTCCTATGGCTGCACCACCTCGTGTGCTTGGCGTTATTTCGGGAGATGAGAGGCCATCGAAATCGAAAGCGTATTGTGTCAGTCTTAAATCCTTTGCTCAGAAACCTCCAGACAAACTGGAAAACCAACAGCTAAAAGGTCAAACTATCTTTGCGTTCGTTCGTCTTTGTGAATCAACGTTCCCAGATCTGTGCATTTTAATGTCCCTTTCTGGCATATGTTCTGCATTGTGTTGCTTATCAAATGCATGTCAGCTGATGAACAACTGAATCTGTGTCCCTTTCTATGTATTGCTTTGATGTCCTTTGAATTGAGTTCAATTTTGCTCGACATCACTCTTTGCAACTTTGTTCCAGTTCAGAAATATGTTGAATCCTAAAAAGAAAGAATCCTCATGACTGACGACAAAAGAGCCTGCCACAATTTATATCACACCTACCCCTTCAAGAATAAAAGCAAAGGAAACGCCCACGTACCCCTAATCGATAAGACTTGTCGTCTTGCCTTCCTCATTTCCAATGATTAATGATATGACTAAGTTTTGGATTAATTTTGAAGGCAACACCTTCATCGTCTGCGTAACCCACAAAAATGACATACTTAAGTCTTCAAATATCTTCAATTGCAAAGCCACAAGCTGAATCCCCACCATCGAAGCTTCGATGCAAAGTGCCGGTGCTGGTTGAAAGACGAGCTGCGATTCCAGTACTGCTGGCAACTCAATTCGTTGCAGTGAAAGACGTCGTTGGAGATGTACATGCGTTCAGCACGTCCATCCTGGCACAACGGCTGCTTTCTAACTGCACTGCAACGTGAGAAGTGAGATGGGACCGGTTATCACTGGTGAAGGTAAACCGGTCTAAACCTTCTTTAGAGGGCACAAACAGCAATGTGACAGCGTCAGATCTGTTTTGTGATGCAGATCCACAGTGGCCTTTCGGGATGCAGATCAGTCTGGTCAAATGGGGCTAGTCTGACCTTTCTGATTTCCTTGTACCCTCAGGCCCTCGAGTAGTTGACATGCTGAAAATGGTTGAAATCTCTGATGATCGACTCCAAAGGCTCAGGGGCATCGACTCCACAGTTCGAAGTCGAGAGTCTGAGGTCAACCAAACTACTTGATTTCATGAGGAGCTCTTGCTTTTTGAGCCGATGCTGTGCCACCATCCACTGTGCCACCCTTGTGCACCATCCAAAACCTCCCCAGTATCCTCCGGTGTTTGCACCAAATAGATGTCCAACGAAGGCGTCCCCACGCGCTGCTGCGGCAGCCACCAGCTCTGGTCCACCAGCTGCGCTTCCCGCGCGTCGGCGCGAGCAGATCCTCCGGGCCACCTGCGTCACGACGATGTGCGACGGTTCGTAGGTGAAAACAGGCGTTGTGGTGTCATTTTGGGCCTGGAAACAGGCAATTTTGTTGGTTTATGTTTGTCTGGAGCGGGATGCTCTTGTGAACCGGTGCCAGTTGGTGCATACAACTGCAGGACCGAAGGTCAGAAAAAGAGTGCTTTCAGGTTGAAGGAAGGACCATGGGGCAGTGATCGCGTGTGGGGTGAAAGCATCTCCTCAACAGTTGGCCAATCTAATATTCTGATATATTCTGAAAGTCTCATAATATATTGATCAAGCATATTCTGCAATAGTTGGCCAAGCATCTCCTCAATATTCTGGTATATTTTGTAGCTGTTTGATCTGGGCACGGGCAAGATTCCACGTGTTGGTCTTGACACTTATTGGTTTTGTGTAAAAACAACGTACGAAAACAGCCTTCTTTCAGCCAAAGCCACACTTTGAAGCATCGCCCCCGAGGGTCATAGCTCAACTCCTAAGAATGCGGCACATGGCACAAAGCATCCAAACATATCCAAACTGCCCATGATCCATGATCTGAGCCGAATACATGGTGAAGGCAAGGTCGGGGCTGAAGGTTGCTTCATCGGACTGGACAAATTCCTCGAGATGGACACATGGATCAACCTCCTGAACAAAACTGCTGTACAAGGCGGGTTGTTTCAATGTATAACAACCAAGTTTGCCTTTAGTATGTATATATATATACAATATACACGGTTGTTTCATTGTTTTAAGTTCTGCATTTTAACAACTGGCTGAGTGTCACTCACACCAACCTTCTACGACGTTTACCTTTGCTCATGCCCGACAGAATACAACTTGCCATGCTCATCCCAAGCACTCACTTGACGATTTGGGATGCCAAATGGGTTAAATTGCCCAGGCATGTGTGGAGATGCTATTCTCAAACATCACACTGATGCACAAATTACTGTTGACTTGGCTCTGATTCTTCCTATTCAAGTTTAAAAGGCGTTGGTCCAGTTCAACTGTAAATTGTAAAGACTTGTTCTGCAAGTCACGGTTGACCCTCTCTTTGAAACAGCCACAAACTGTCCACACTTTCGTACGAGGAAGCGCTCCCTTTACGTCATCTTGGAAATGCGAGTCCCCCGCTTTCGCTGCCAGGGCTTTGGTTCAAGACACAGTCAACTGTTTTCTGGGAGATCCTCTCACCTTAGGCCACCTTTTTGTCTCAACTGGAGCATTATAGACATATATTGTATTAATTTGTATTATATGTATATTTAATTTGTCTTTATTTATCGGTGTACCTGAAGCTTCCTTTGCCGATTACCACAAAACACTCGATTTCAAAAAGTGCTCATTATAACAAAAAAAGGCGCTACCATCGCTAAACCACATGGATGTCCAGGCCCTTTTTGGATGGCTGGGGCGAGTGTAAAGCGACCCTCCAAGCCATCCACTGAACCGTCTTGCACCGTCAGTAGCGAGGCTCATATCCATTCCTGCTCAATCTCGCCAGCATGGCTGGGCTCTGCAGGATCTCCACTTCCTCATAGAAAAAGGGTGATCCAAAACGTCCTAAAGAATCCATCTCTGGAAGACGAGATCTGAATGATCTGATCATAACCACAAGTTGGACCATATGTTGGGTGGTTGGTGATCCAAAATCGAGGTCACTCAGGTTCCAGGTTACATAGCATCCTTGTTCCTAGTAGCGATGCCCTTTGTTACGAGTAATTAGCTTCTTGCTACTAGTAGTAAGGCCAGGAGCCACTAGTAGCGTCCTTGTTCCTAGTAGCAAGAATGCTACTAAGAAGCTTCAAAGACCTACTAAAAAGCTTCGTGTTACTAGTAGCTTCAAAGACCTCCCAAGAGGCGTCCTTGTTCCTGATAGCCTTTCAGTCCGCATCAGTCGTCCCCATCCGTCCGACCACCGGGCCAGTCGCTCCTTCTCCGGCAGATCCACCTCGCAGTCGTCCGCATGGCGCGAGAGGCCGCCGTCGCGCAGGGCACCGATCAACGTCCCGTGGGAGACCCACCAGTGGAGACGAAAGAGGCTGAAGAGGCTGGTGACCACGTGAAAGAGTCCTCGCCGGCGCAAGGGAATTCGGTCAGCGACCACGTGCGCGTGAAAAGGGTGGCTGTGGAAGACTGCACCAGAAACCTGGACCCGGACCTTGAGTGAGGTGGCCGAAGGGGTATAATCATGGTTACGTGGAAACAAAATGAAAATAAGGCCATTGGGATGACCATGTTTCTCTCCAAACTGGTGGTTTTCCACTTCAAGTCTGAAGGGCCACTTCAACAACAATGCTGCACGGGGACCTGATTACTGTGCTGGCACTGTCAACCAGTTGCATGCTTAGTTTGTAATTATTATATAATTCGATGCTGTGTCGACAGACTTTGTTCTTTCGGCGGTCGCAAAGAAGGAAAAACAGTGTGTAGGGTGAGCAAAAGAGCTGCTTCGAAGAAGCTTGGGATGGGGCTCCAGGGGTTCAAAGCGTGACACCTGCGACACCGGGCTTCAGGTTTCCAGGGTAGTTTGAGGCACTGTTTGGGAATGATGAGAAGGAAACACCACCAGTCACTTGATGCCGCCAGTGGCCGAGTCTGCCCGCAGGAAACCTACACGATAATTGTTGAACTGAGATGACTGAGATATGATATTTCTTTGAATTGGATCATTGCAAAATCCATTCCTTTGAACTCGAATATTTGCTGGCCATGCTAGATCAGTCGTCGAAAAGGTCTTGTGTGGACTGTGTCTGATACCGTGCCGGTTGCCATGTCCTTGGGTTATATGTCATGGCCACAAGTTCAAGGCACACAAGTTCACAAAGAAGTAAAGAAAGAAAGACAGAAGGAAAGAACATGCAAGAAAATAAAAGAGAAGAACAGATCCACTTCTCAAGGTACACCAAGGCAGGCGGTGTGATGCCAAGAATCTGTAGTACTCGAGCACCAAAGCGGGTGAAAGTCTCTGCCTGAGTTCCGTCCAATCCAATGAGTTCCGTCCGAGATCCGTCCAACCGAAATGAAACACTGCTCCGAACGCCGCTGTGCATGTTTTTCTTTTTAACCAGAAATAAGAACCAATGAAGTGCAGAATTCTTAACATGTACTCATCCGCCAGGAGCAAAAAAACAATTAATTCAACTTTTAAAGGTTGACCATTGCATGATCTCAAAAGAGTTCACAAGGCTTGGTTGGGAGTTGGAAGAAAGACTCCATTGAGGGGTCATGCAGAAAAACTGGAACAGCTTAATGATCATACAAGGACTAGAACTATCTTTGGTGCCATATCCTCTAGTATCCGGTGTTCAGTTGTTCTTACTATTTCTTACTGCCATACGCTCCGCCGTGCTCCGGAGCTCCGTGGGCTTCTTGAAGCACACGACCAAGGCAAAGACTTCACCCAGTCAGTTGCCATGTCCAGTCAGTGCCAATCATGTGTATCAAAACCACCCCAAGACCGCCCAAGACTTCCCCCTTGAGATCACGATCCAATCCTTGTGTCGTCTGGAAGCCGAAATGGGAGCACCCCATTAGCTCAGCCCCAACAAGCTCAGCAGACAGGTAGGTGTCCCTTTAGCTCAGCTCAGCTGCTGCCCAGCTTCCACAGAGCCTGCCGGCCAAGTCGACTCCTCGCTCTCCGCCCCCTGTCGCGCGTCCTCGTCCTCGAGGCTGAGGTCGTCGTCCAAGCGAGGGCGGCGCGCTAGGCGATGGAGGAGGTCAAAGACAGGCCACTGCGCTGTGGATAATAAGATGCTCCTGACGGCGGGACGGACGGGTGACGATGGCACCAAAACAGCCGACCGTGGAAGAGCCTATGGAAGCACCGTGGAAAGGACCGAAGGACAGAATCAGCATGCCTGACCCCTTCGGCCCCTTCGGTCTTTTCCGCACTGCTCAATTTCAGTGAGAAACCACCAAAAAACGTCACTGACTGGCTCGGCAAAGGTCTTCTCCTCAAGGAATTGGCATGGAAGCTCCGGAAGTGCCTCTCTGCCACTTCCACGGAGGCCCGACTCCTGAAGTCCAAAGCAGGAAATGACTCACGAAGTGCACCGGTGTCCCTGTTGACACACAGGCATAGTTCCCTCCAACCTACTAGCGATGGCCTCCAACCTAATAGCTATGGCCTCCAATTATACAACTTATATAACGGGTTATATATGTGAGAAAACACCATGCCATAGCAGGATTCTTCACTGGCACACCTCTTCGGGCTTATTGGATTGCGCCAGCATCAATGCAGTGAGCACCAATGAAGCGAGTACCAGAACAAAAACCCAAGAAACCTTGCTTCACTCACAAGCCACATATCGTTAATTTCTTTGACCAAGGTCAGTTTTTTACAAATCAAACAGTACAATGAACTAGAGGGCTGGGCTCAGCTCTGTCAACACGGTACTAGAGCCGCACATCAAAGTCGACTCACATGACTCAATGCCAGCAACCGCATGATGTGGCAGCATACCGGTCAAGGCCCAAAAATCCAAGCCAAGACAGTTCCGGTCCCTTGTTCACCCCTCCATCCCTGAGATTCTCGCGCCCTACCCTTTAACTATGCAGGTGTTTCCCATTGCTCGAGGTCGACTCTCGCCTGGCAGTGGCCAGCCAGCTGCAAGCCTTTCGGAAGGCCTTCCAACGCGTCTGCTCCCAGCTCAGAAGCGGCTCCGATTGCACCTAGGATGTTTTGATGGTTGAGACCCAAACGCTCTTCACAGCCTCAACTGGTCCCTCAAAACCTCGGGATTGGTGAGAACCCCAGATGTAATGACGACCCGGTCCAAGGTTGCTTCAGGGTGATATGTGTTGATGTGTTTTGACCTTTCAACGAAGTTCAATGCCCCAGTACAGTAGCCTCCACTACCCTCCCTCTTGATGGCGAGCCCTTGAAAGGAGGGATGCTGAGCATGACTCAGCAGCAGGTGGCATCAGTTTGCTTCGAACGAATCATGTTTGGACCTTGATCCAGTTTGTGGGAACATGTGAGAACATCTCTTCTGAACTAATACGTATACCGTATGCTCCAAGCTTGTTGATGGCCAAATTCCCGCACTCCAAAAGACATCTGGGATACTGCAAATGTCTGCCGATACAAGATCCTCTTCTGGTGCTTAGCTTTCACTTGAAGTCGCTAGGTCTGATGGTTGTGACCCACCTGTTTTTCACTTCGAAAAGCTGCAAGCTATGACTCCTCCCCACCTGCAAGTGGATTCCCGCTGGCCGCTCTCCCCATGGCTGCTCCAGGAGAGATTGAAGGTGTTGACCTTGGCGAAAGAGTCCACACGACTCGTGGAAGGCAACAACGAGTCCAACAGTTGGCACCCTTGCCCAGGCATTCCATGTCTATCCATGTATTAAATGTATACCTACATTGGGGTGATTTGGGGGGTTAATGTACCTGGAGTCTCGAAAGTACCTTAGAAAATGGGGACGCGTGTTAAGGATGGCATCCTATGTTAAAAGTATCTTTTTCTATCAAGAGTACCTTTTTTGTATTTTGCTGGAGGTGGCATTTCGAGACTCCATGCATTGGAGATCATGACGTGATGTGCCAACCATCGAAAGGTCTCGATGCGTTCGGGTTCGCAAGCTTTCATCTCAAGCATGAAAGCTCTTGACTGTACTCCATGACATTTGGGCCATTGATTTGGTGCGCCCTCCCTATGCTCAATTTTTTTGACTGCAAGCAACCTTGTGTGTTTGCAAACATTTGCAGCAAGCGCAAAACTATGCAGTGAAGAGTGACCTTACTGTCCATTTTGCAGCATTTTTGTGGCTCAATCATGGAAGCATTCCTCGCAAAGCACAGTGACTTGCGATCGGAGTATGAGACCCGAGGAGCGGTTGTGCTGAGGTGTTTCCATCATGTTTCGTATCCCCATTCTCCGCTTGGTCAGGTTTACTGGATCACTCGGATGACTGGTGGGCGGAGGTCATCAAGGTGATGTTTGGCAAGGATGTGTTGCTTCATGCCTATAAGGCCTAAGGTCTATTATGGCTTATCAAACCTTTGGTCTAACGCTCTTCGTTTGTTGGAGGACCAAACTATCGATGTGAACAAAGCCCACAAAATTCTATCCAACTACGACAACGCGGGTGTGGTGGACCATCTGGTGAAGCAATCAAAAGGATTGACATGTGTTTTCTTGTCACTCACACATTTTATGATGTAGTTTTGGGGGGCTCGCATGTTGAGGACGTGGCCTGGACAGCTCTGAGGTCTCATCCTAAGGTCCCCTCTTAATGTTCCCTTTGGGTCCCGTGTGCTCTGAGGCCCCATCATCATCAGCTAGTTTGTCTGAGACATAAGGTAGTGAACAACCGCAGGGCCCCACTCGAGAAAAGATTCTATAGCTGCGCGCGATATCCCAACTTGTCACTCTGTGAGCTTAGTGTGTCGCACACCTCCGGAACTCTCCCAGTGGTACCTCCCAGTGTTTATTCCCACGCAGGTTTTGCTTTGTGTGGATGGCCCGGGAACCAAGATGAGCCAACCACAGATGGACAATTTCAAAGAGCTCTTGGGTCCATGATCATGAGCAACCTTCTTCGTGAATGCAACATCTACAAACGCCAGAAAGAATTTGAGTTAGGTGGCCCATATGTTTCACTGTTTTTTGTGTGAGATCATGTAGGCATGACCTGCAGCTCTCCCTTTAGCAGCCAAGCCGGTTTTCTCACGCGCAGCGGTGTCAGTAGTGATGCTCCAGGGCTTGGCAGAGAAGCTGGAGGCCAACTCCTTCCTGCGCCGCCGTTGCAGAGAAATTCAAGCTTTGATCTCTTGGCCCTCAGCTTCTGCTACTGGCATCCCTTCGATGAGTCTTATCAAAACATAACCATTGCATCTTTCTTCACTCCAATCCAAGAGAGGTCAAAAGGCATGTTGGCATGTTGAGACTTCTTTTTGGCAGCAATGTCAAAACCAACCTGAAGCCTGCCCAGGAAAGCCCTGAAGTTGAATGTGGAAGTCCTTCGTTCTTTTGCGGAGGTATGGGTCGAAGTCTTCGACTTCGAAGCCTGTGGAACTGCACGCACCCCCCCCCTTCGTTGCATCAAGGACCAGGTGGGGGAATGCGCTATCATAGCTATCTTTTGAATTAGCCCGCATGATTTCTGGATCATACTTGGAGCTGTCCGTAGGTGAAGCAATTTTGGAGCCTCTTGGACCTACAGAAAGGCCCTTCCAAGGTACAGGTACAATGTGACTCTTGGGGTGTGCGAAAGCTGATGTCCCACATCTTTCGGAACATCCGCATGGGGCGGATACCTCGTGAACTCCGGCAGCAATCAGTGTGATGTGTGCGCAGGCATGCTTATATGTGTGTGTGGGGGTTGTTATTGAGATTAAGTTGGGTGAGTTGTTGTGGCTTTACTGCGATCAAGATCGATCAAGGACCCGGAAGTAAAGGCTATCTATCGGATATTCATTGCCGTGTGGTACCCATACTTGCTGCCTGTGTATGATGCTGCTGACGTTGCTGATGATGAGGAGGACCTTCTTGTTTGTTGTATGAGTGTGTAGTATGTAGCAAAAGCCGAGTGCATCTGCAGTCAAACTGAATTGTAAATGATATTCCAGGACGAGGAGGTCGAGGAGGTTGCTCCCCTCATGGAGGCAGGTGATGAGGACCTAGATGCCCTGGACGCAGAGGACGCCCTGGCACTGGAGGATACACAGCCAGTTATGGAGCCTACTCTTGAGGACACACAGCCTGCGCTGGAGACTGCTGAGCCGGTTGTTGAGGTAGAGCTTGGCAGGAAAGCGGACATGGTGATCAATCTTGATGATGATGAGATTCCAACAACCCAGCGTGATGAAGCTGAGGTGGAGACGAGTCCGCCTGTAGATGATTCCCAGCCAAGGGATGTCTTTTGCTTCACCCACCATGATGTGAACATGCCAGATTCGCAGCCCATCAGCAGCTGTGGCGGTGTCTATCCTTCATGCCAAACAGTGGATGTGAATGAGATGTTGACAATACCCTTTGATGTGATGGGGGCTGACTTTCCTCCAGAGCCAGTGACCCAAATCCGGTCCAGGCAGCCTCCCTCTTCAAAGGAGGAGCTTGATGGACTGATCAAGCACTACGAGTTGATGTCCCTGAGAATGTCTCAAAGTGTGCCAGAAAAAGCCGTGGTCACTGAGGGCCCAATGGATCTCAATGGGCCCAATGGATCTCAATGTGGAGAACCGGAGATGCCCGACAAGCCAAGCCTATCGACCAAATCGGAGATGCCCGACAAGCCAAGCTTATCGACCATTGATGAAGAGATCAAAAAGCTCGAGCTACTTGGCACACAATGTTTGAGTTCAGACTCCTTGCGCAACCTTTGGCCATGTGTCCACACTGAGGGAGCAGCTGCAGGAGGCACCAAAGGCCAGTCCTTCTTTAACTTGTTGATGGCTGTTGCTGCCTACGTGGACTTGTTTCTTCTTGCGCGTTTGCAGGCGAAGCCATCCGGGCTGCTGCAGAGCAAGCCTGATGGAGTGGTGTTGGAGGATGGCTGGTGCAATAATTGCTTTTCCACGGAGTTTTGTTTTGCAGGTGCTTTGCTTTGCTGAGCGACCTTGCCAGGACCCTGTAGCTGCTCTCAAGAAGGTCGACCAAATGCTTCGACCTCCAGCTTTGAGACCAGAGTCTAGTGTGGAATCAAACCAGCCAAAGCTGAGGGATTTGGATGCAGTTGCTTTCGTAAAGAAAGAACCGGAACTGAAAAATGTTGTTGTGCCTCGAGAGCAGGAGGCATGGGAGGAGGGGGCCGGACAAGCTGAGGAATCTGAACAGTTCCTTTTGCGGAATCAGCAAGACAGCCAGCACGGGGGGGGGCGTGGCCGAGGCAAAGGACCTCGCAAGGGTCGGGGAAAGCAATCCAAGGAAAGTGTAGATGCCGACCTGGAGAATTCAGAACCAACAAGAAAAACAAAGAAGAATGAGAATAAATCAAAAGGTCGTGAGCGGAAGTCGTCCGCAAGGGTTGAGGAAGCCAGCGCTTGCAGCAAGCCAGGCAACAAAAGGAAGGCAAAGGGAACAACCAAATCGGAACCAGCAAGCAAAAAGACTCGAGGTAAAGGGGGGAAGAAGCATGACAAGGAGGATTGCGATGGTCCGAGTGACTCCAAGGACACTCAGCCTCAAAGCTCTCGGAAGCGGACCTGCGATCCTGAGAGGGAGAAGCTGAGAAACACAATCCAGGAATACGAGCATTGTAAGGTCATCCCGTACTGGACCCGTGATGCAGTCGGGCTGCAGCTCAAAATCCCTGACCAGCGAAAGACACCCCAGGCAGAATTGTGTTCGAGAGTTTAGAGTTTGAGAATTTGAATCCATACAACCTTTCTGTGTTCCAGATTCCTGTTCTTACAAATGGCCTTCATCTTGTGTATAGGTCTTCTACTTGACGATCAAGGGCAACATCAAGTCAGCGTTGGAAGCCATGGCAGGTCTTGCGACTCACTCGCACTGTGGGATTTTTTGCTGTCAAAAATGTGAAACATTGCCACGTCTGTATATCGACTTATATAGGCTTTCGTACAATTTGGCCAAGGCTGCTGCTGTGGACAATGTGAAAGGCGACTACCAGTGCCAAAACATCCAGGACATGTGGGCCGTCATCAAGGCAAACAGAGAAGATTGATGCACCAAAGGTGCCCCCATCTGTGTTTTGCGCCAGGGTTGATAGGGAGTGCTTGGGCCGCTTTTGAAGTGTTTGAAGGGGTCTTGGCACTGGAAAGTGCATTATCTGTGCGATTTGCGGGATGCGAACTCTGGGTCTCATGTATTAAAACCATAATATTTAGTACATGTTCGTACTTTGTGCGCTGACAAAGCTTTCTTTTTGGTTGAAGACCCAAGTTCGAGACCATATGGTGTGCAATTAGCAGTGGGGTCAAATCGTTCCAACACGAGACAAATGTGTGCGACTGATACTGCAATGGTGCTTGTCAATACGAATCTGCAAATGCAAGAAAGATTATGCAGTACAGGTGGGCCAGACTTCAATATTATATGAGTGTATGGCGCAAACCCTTTGTTAACTTTTACCATAGCATGTCAGCATGTGACATCCATCTATATAGCGATGCGAGTCAGCAGCGACCCCAAGAATCAAAAAAACAATCTTTAAACACCATGTGCCCTTTTGGAGCCCTTTTTGAAGACAATTGACTTAAGAAAGGGCACCACCGATAAATTGTTTCTGGGCTTCTCCTGGTCGTTCATGACACGGGTGCGTCTTGCCGCGGCCGAGGCTGGACGGTCCTGGTTCGAAAGACATGGACTTGTCCCGGAGCCTCGAAATCCTGGCACGTTTGCAGGTGGCACCATGCTTTGTTGCAGCCATATGCCCGCTCGTTTGGAAGAACTTGTTGCGCCCACCTATCAGCACCATCACAATCCTATATATATGCATAGCTCCTGCAGGCATCAGCCCAGATTAGAAGAAACCTGTGTATGGTCGTTTGCACTCATGGTGAGCCGTCAGAACTTTGATACGCTTCTACGCAATATGTTTGCGTTGGGATGCCCCAAGGTGGTAGTCTTAGATCGAGCCTTTCGTTCCAACAGAAGTCCAAAGACCACAAGAATAATAGGGTTCTCATATGTTTTTGGAACTGTTGTGGTCTCTAGACTCCTGTTGGTTGGCCAGTTTGATGCTACTTCTGAGGTTGGACTGGACTGGACCTGTTACTTCTGAGGTTCTCATTACGATCGTGATTCTATGCTCTTGCCTGAACAACTTCGAGTTCAAGGAATCTGTCGAGGTAGTAGATCTTTTTGCTGGGGAAGGGAGAATAGCGCGGACAGCTCGTGCAATTGGGATGAACGCTGTAGCGCATGACATCAGCTACAGTGCCAGTGGACGGACCTTTGACATCAACCAGGAACCAGGTTTCACGCCCCTCAGTGCAATTCAAGAGTATATTTATTTGGGTTGTGGGTAGAATGCAAGGTCCATCAAGGTTCCAGTGGCTACCATGCTTGTTAACATCCGTATCACCATGTCACCCTTTCTGGCGGCCTGGACCCAGAACGAACTGAGCTTTTTTGAGGTTGGCAGTGATATCACTCCTGCAGGGCAAGTTCTCAGATGTCTTCACGACGTGTGGGGTGTGCTGCAGCAGTTGGATAGCCACATCCAGGGGATCTACAGGGCGATCGGTGGTAACACCTATGGGAAACACAGAGTACAGCAAAGTTGTACTGTCGAACTTGATGGTCTCCAGGACTTGTATTGCCCATTCTCCTTGTTACTCTAATATTTATAATATATTCCCAAGCAAATCACCGTTTTTCCAGTGAGGACATGCCTCCTCCTTTTGATTGCGGTATGCCTCCAAGGGGTTTGGCTCGTGGAGCAGCCAAGCTCGAGCCTGATGATGCTCCATGAACGGATGGTATGGATGATAGACCACCTGAAAGACCATGGGATCTATGCTACTTGTTTCAATAGAATGGCAACTAGGGGGAACTCTTGGCGCTACTTCCGGCAAATCTTCACTTTCACGTTAGTCATCCCTGCGCCGCTGAGGTCTACAAGCAGACTTTCTGGATGAGGCAGTGGGGTCACGAAACGGCCAAGAGGACTGTCCTCTTCAGCAACTCCAAATGGGTTGGAGGGTTCAACCTCGGGAAAATGAGCCGGGCTATGCTGGAGTCCAAAGTCAAACCACGACTAAATATAAATCCCGTGATGGCAAGACCAGGTTTAAAGGGAATTCCAACTTAAAGGGGACACAGTTGCTTGGCTTTGCCATGCATGCGTTTTTGTTTGCATTCTCCAAGCTTCTGTGAAAGGGTAGTGGATAATTACAGGGGCCGGGGCACAAAGCTTCATGTGTTTGATCCCTGTGGTCATCATAGCCCAGGCTATATCCATGGGGCTTTGTTGCTCGAGTCATTCAAATGAGCCAAGAAGCAAGGGTAGAGGAACGCCCCACGATTCCACATGTTCCTTGGCATCGACACGTCGCAGGTGTTAACTTATAAATTGTACTGTAAGGGCTTCCATTTTGGGAGTGCTATAATATAGGGTATGTTTGGCGCACCAAAAACGGAGCCCCCCAAAACAAAACCAAACCAAGTGCAAGGGAACACTGCAACCGACAGAAGGTCCACTATAGTATGCTTTTCACTTGTACCGACAGGAGCCCCATAGACATGAGATGAGGCTTCAAAACCAAACGGTCGAACACGGACACAAACATTTTGAAAGATGTCATATTTAACCTTTGATGCGCTTACCGTCAATCCGAGGCAGGATCCCAAGACCTTGTGGCAATGTATGAAGCATTGCCGTGGGGTGATCTCTGGGAGGATGCTAAGTGTGTAGAAATTGTGAAATACTTGAGGGCATCAAAGATGCTTTCCCTACCGCCTGAGTGGCGCCAAGTTCTGCCTGGATCCTTGTGAGCCCACTGAACCTTGAAAACTTCCAGGGTCGAGTATGGTAGAGTACTTTTTTTATCGAAAAGCACTTTTTTGGTAAAGGGCGTCCGGCCGAGGCGTCCGAAAGGACGGTTTTAGGCGTCCAAAGGACGGTTTTAGGCGGGCGGTCCGGACCCCGTCCGCCCCCCATGTACCCATTTTCCATCTTGAGTACCTTTTTTGGGGTCCGGACCCCGTCCACACCCCGTCCACACCCTGTGAGAATCTGTTAGAGAATTCTGGAGGCCCCTCCAATGACAAATTCCCATTGTTGGTGTTTTGGGTGAACTATTTGGGAGCTGAACAACTCCAAGATTTCTTGGGTGAATTCCTACCCTTCAAGTGACCCAACTGAGCGACAGGGCTGAAGCACGAAGCAGGTGTACATCTTGGATGGCAGCCTGGTTTTGTCAGTGGTCAACTCACAATGTTAGGGATGCCCTGGTGGATTTGATGCTTTTGGCATCTTTTGGAACTTAATTAAAACGAAAACCCCTGTGTGACGACACGGGTGGCTCAATTAGCTTGTGGAAATAGCTCGCGCAGTATGCGTTTCACTGAGTGAGCTGGAGCTTGCGAAAGAGACCAGGAAACCTTTTGGAGATGCATACCATATACCATACATGATATGTATTTAGTAGCTAGAAGCTACTAGGTTGGAGGCCATTACTACTATAGTAGCTAGAGGTTGGAGGCCATTACTACTATAGTAGCTATAGATGCTACTATACTTCAGGCCAGTGTATACCATATAATACTTTTACTATATATTTTATATACAGTCTCTCGGACTTTGTCGCTGAGTGGTATGCCCAGCAAGCCTTTGGAATATTGCGTAATATTCAACAAGCAGTTGAACACACCTTCTCTGGGTCAGCCATTTTCCAATCCAAGACTTTGTGTTCTCTGCGTAACTGGCGCATGTCACGTGTTCCGGAAAGGCTTGAATCGCAATCCCGGAGTACAGAGAGCCTGGCAGAGGGTATGCAGGCTCTTGGCCAACAGCGTGTCAAGGCGGAGCCTGCAGAGATGAGCCAGGAAGAGATTCAACAACGACTGCAGGATCAACTGTTGGGGTTTGGGTCATGAGATGGGGTTAGCTATTGTCCCCAAGTGAAGCCTCGCCACTTCATTTTAGATTGGAGAAACAGATCAATCATTTCCCAATGACCATTTCAACAGCGAACCCTTTGACCACCTATAGTGTTACAATTGCACGTAAAGACTGCTCACTATGGTTTCTACAAGACAAAAAAAGTCATTTAGGAGGATCTTCAATATGTAAGAGTGGATTCTCAACTGTGAGGTTTGTATATCATTCCCACCAGTATTTATTCCAGGCCTTTGCTAGCCTCTATGGGGCAAAGAAGCCATGTCAAACAAGTGCCCCCCCAAACAAAGCTCTCAAGTGAGACCTGTCCTTGAAGGTCATCATCCGTACGGTACTTTGGAGTTTTTTCCCAAGAAAGGTTGACAGGACACAGCAAACATGACACCTTTTTTATGGGGCCTTGGAAATGAATGGATCTGAGGAACAAACGTACTATAGGCCAAAAGGCTATAGGCTACAAAAAGGCCTTTTGACCTCTTGGAAACCCGCTCACATCTTGAAAATGCTATAGCTTCTATATATGGCCAACCCCAGATGTGGCATCATGACTCCTTGGGGAAGAACAGCCCAAAACAGCCTGATCATATACATTGTGAGGGTCCGGGCATGGCAATTGTTGTGCCAGGAGTTGAGGGAGCTTCGGGCAGCTGTCGACAAGCAGCAGGGGCAACCAACTGAGATCTCCAGTACTACTCCTGACAAAACTTTGAAGAGGTCTAGGCTGGTATCGCCTGTCAAGCCTCTTGAAACCCCTCTTGGGTACCCCGACAGTGAGAGCAATGCGGGCATTGAACCAATTGAGCCTGGCAGTGCCAAACGCCAGTTGTTCCCGGAGGAGCCCAGTGTGCACATCTCAGTTTGTTGGGGGCGCCAAACTGAGGGTTGATCAAAACAAACTGCCCTTAGCGGGCACATACTGAGGATGGTTCCAACGAAGCAAACATATCAGCTGTTTGGATTCTGCTGAAGCGGTATAAACCTTTGCTGCTTTGGGGTTGGTTGGCTCCTAGGCAACTGGTGGAACTCATGAGGGATCCGTGGAAAGCCTGACCAAGTCGCTCGAGTCCCTGAAGATTGAAAACCAGTTGTTGAAGTCTGAAAACGTTGAGCTTAAGCGGAGATTGGCTTCGGATGCGAACCAAGTGGCTCCAAAGGGTGAAGATGGTCTGGGGGATGGGGAACACTTGAGTGATGATGCTATCCGCAAGCGGATGGGCCGCATGTTCAAGCCGCGTGCAGATGGGACCCATGTCACACCTTCAGTCGAATTGTTTTAAGATTCACAACTTTGTATATCCCAAACCTTTACCTTGCAGTGTCACACACCTTTCTTTCTGGCCCAGGACTTTGCAGGTCCCCCAGGATGTATATGATGCATATGTGGCGGGTGGTACCTGTCGAGCGAAACTGATTGAGAAATTTGCGGAAATGGGCTATGACAAGGTGTGCGGTGTTTTTGCATGTCACACCAAAAGCAATCGAACTTCGGGCCTATGGCTCCACACATCCTCAAGCAACTGCTCCAGGAGAAGTTCCTTATCTCTGTCAAGCTTGAGAGCGAGAAGCGCGAGTCCATGACTGTTCGGGTCAAGGCCCAATGGGCAACAGAGGACAAAATGCGAGACACTCTCAAGCTTACAGAGCATCTTGCCAAACAAATAAATCGGCAAAGGTTCTCTACCTCTCTGTGGCGCAATTAGCGGAACAGTAATATCGTATATTCCATTAATCCCTTAGAAAATGAGAACCGTTTTGATGAGGAGCAAATCCTAGTGCAATTTGGGCCCTCCCTCAGTATCCTTCACCTTATTTGAAAATGGCTGATGCACTCTGAGGGCGAGAATCAAGGCTGTCAAGGAGTACTGCGAGAAACGTCAACAGGATCACACAAAGTGCCTTGGAACAAATGCCAAGGTAGCTTGAGTGCATGCTAACACTTTAAAGTTCTCTTGCCAGAGATTGGCTTCTTGTTCTAGCAGCTAGCAGTCCAAAAGGTGTCCAGCAAGAATGATCGTATTTTCATTTTGTTTTGGCCCAAAAGAACATGCAATATAGTATCATGCATGAGCTGCATGGGCGTGACTGAGGTTCGACAAATACGAAAACAAGACTATGTATTGGTATGAAGAAGAGCTTGTTGCCGAGTATGAGCAGCAGGTCTCTAAGCGGCGCAAAGAGGAGTCTTCGTTTGAAACCGAGGCGCTGGTTGGTGAGCACCTGGCCCGGGCTGCGGCACCCCTTGAAATGACTGTGCAGGAAATCCAAGCCATGAAAATGGGGGAGGGAGGCATGGCAATGAATTCTAATTAAAATTTTGTATGTTCTCTATGTATAGTCCCATGTTGGACGCCCAAATTCCCCAGAAAGGTGGAATTCCAGAGCCTTTGGATTCTGGAGTTCTCTTCGTGGTCGGCTGCGATCCCAGGTGCTGATTCGAAGCCTGGTCCAGTTCCTCACCAACCGACTGTGCTTCCACAGGTTCAGAAGAATGAACTTCCAAGCAGTGTGATCTTGAAGTTCTTGGATGGACTTTCAAAACGGATCTCAAAGGTCATTGAAGCATAGCTGAACTCTTTGCAATGTATAAACATGTATGAACTATAAACCATATGCCAGCTTGCCTCAAACATGATTTCAGGACATGAGAGGCAAGTATGAAGCCATCCCAGAAGACAAAAGAAACACCACTCACACCGCGCTACTGAACGTGCAATTATATATGCACACAAAGGACATCAAACACTTAGTTCTTCTCTTGCATGTGTCTCTGTCGCCCAGGCTGATCACAAAAATGACCGACATCATCGCCCGCCTCGAGGATTCCCACAACAAGGTGAACGATGTCTATGCCTCTGGAGCTGTGGAGGGTTATGGGAAAGAGTGCCTTGCAGAAAAAGGGTGCGAAGGTTCTATATATAGACTTCTTGGTAACTTCACTTGCCTTGCATAGCCTCAGAACCTTATAGTGCACATGCTCCCTATCAAACTAGCCCAGGCTTGAAGACACGTTGAAGGAACACTACAAGCAAGCTACCAAAACGACGGGGCCTTAATCCTGCTTGGAACTGATGCAGTGCAAATACCAACTCATGGAGGGGTGCCGACTCATGTACCTAAGGGCCCAGGAATCCTTGACGCTGGAATCCCGCTGCAAAGCCATCCCGGTCCCAAAAGCAGAGGCCAAAGTGAGTGCGAAGAGCAAAGCCGCTCCTAAGGGAAAGGCCAAGGTAAAGGCCAAGGCGAAGCCTAAAGCTTCAGCCTGAGCCTTCGATTTTAAAAGCCCCATCCTTCACTGGGCTTGCAGGTGTCTGTAAGATTTGTAAAACCATGCATGCTGTAAAGGACCTTAACCTTGATGTCATGATGTCTAGGTATACCACTATACAACCACTTGAAGCAGCACAGCGTTTTCATGTTGCTTTGCAATGGGTTTTTTGTTGGCACCTGTATCCGAATGAGGGCGTGGGCTTTGCGAGGGTTGAGAGAGGGGGGCTCTCCGTTTCCGCAAGTGTGGAGCGCTGGCTTTAATGCTGCACAGGGCTTGCTAGAGGGTTCGCGAGTGGAGCGCACAGTAACAGTAACTGGAACATAATAGGAGACCAATGTTCTCTATGATTTGTGTGTGTGCGGTTAACAGTTTTAGAGCTCCATGTGCAATATATTTTGCGCTGGCGATTGGCTTGTTGAACGGCTCATAACGGCTCAGGACTGCTTGCCAAAAAGTGGCTATGGAAGCCAAACACATCCTCTCGAGCATTATCAGTAATAAAGCACTTTACACAGTGTGTGTCCATGCCAGGCGTAGAGAAGCCAGGCGTTCTGATTCGCAATCTTGCAATCTCAATGGCTGAAGGGGCTGCCCAACAAAATGTGGCAAGTGTTTGTTGGAAGTTTACTTTCAAGTGCTTCTTTCCTTAATTGAACTTTCAAAGCACCGTGCCCCCTGTCATATATGGGGAAAGGACTGCATACCAGGAAGCCATCTGCCATCCTCACTCGGTTGCTCAGGCTCCTGCTTCCAAGCTCAAGCGGCTGGCCAACAGCGCAGCCCAAGAGATGACCGAGAATGCCTCAGCTGCAGTGGTGCTTCGAAAAGCAGGTGCCGTGTCAAAAGACAACATGAAGAACGCTGAGCGGGACCTTCATCAACTATTTCGATCCTTGGGGTTGTCCTTGCCAATCACACCATGGCCTATGAAATTTGGACTGGCGTACCTACATCGCTTGAGGTTTTCAGATTGGTTCACTTACTTGATGAAAAACCATCCGGAGCTCTTACTTGGAGGTTACGACCTGGAAAGTGGTCATTACATGAAGCTCCTCCAAAGCTACTGGCAGAATGTTGAAGTTGGGATGCCTGACCACATGGTCTTCAATGTGGACGACCAGCGTTCCCTCACCCAGTGTGTTCCATACTACATCCACCTAGACGAGGGAACGTCGTTGCGCAAGAGTGCTGTAATGGTATACCAAATGCAGCCAGTTTTTGGCCGAGGCACAGCGCTGAAGTTTGCAGAGATGCTCGCAGCTGAGGAGTCCCGCAGCGAATCCGCCATGCACCACCTTATGTCACAAAGCATGCTGCACAATCAAAAGGGAGTGACCTGGAAGTCACGTTTCCTGCTGGCCTGTGTGCCTAAGAAGCTCTATAGCAAAAAGTTTGCCAAGAATTTTGATAGAATCCTTGATGTCTTTTCGGACGAGATTGTAGAGCTTATGGTTAATGGCCTACGGATCCACGGACGTGTGTGGTATTTCATCCCCATGGGATGCAAAGGTGATGCCCCGGCATTGGGGAAGGCCGGACACTTTACACGGACGTTCATGCAGCTTGGCGCTTTAGTGAAATTATCCAACATGTTTTCGCAAGCCCCTTCATCAAAAAAGTGGATTCCTTGTGCTGGTTTTCTTGTTTGGGCTGTGACCATGGACTGCCTGTAGACAACTGTTGTGAGGAACTTGGGCTACAACAAGGGCATCTGCCCTGAGTGTCTTGCTGGCTACCTCGACTACCCCTTCGAGGACAACAGGCGGTTGCCAAGCTGGGAAGGAACCATGGGAGTTGTCAACCCGTGGTCGGAAGGGCAGGAGAGCCCTTTGTTGCAGATCCCTTTCAGGCCCACAGCACCGCATTTGTTTTGGCGGAAGGACCCCTTCCACATCTGGAAACAATCTCTCGGCGGTCATTGGATAGCAAGCTCGATCATTTTGTTGCTTGACTTCAAGGTGTTTGGCCAAAGCAGTGTTGAAGAGGGGCTTGAGTTGGCATATCAGGACTACAACTTCTTTGTCAAGAAGGAGTTTGCTGGTAAGCATGTCTCTCATTTGAAGCACTTCACGCGACAGATCTTACATTTCTCAAAGCAGGAGTCCTTTCCTCATTCAAGGCCAAAGGGGTCGGATGTCATGCTGATCACCAGGTGGTTAAGTGCGCTTCTGGCACGTGGGCCCTACGATCCTGAGAAGGGAGGGCGAAGTGGAAGAAGCCTGGTCTCGCATCCGCCGCAGCCACATCACGCTGAGTTCTTTAGGGCAATGGCAAGTGGTAACAATGCGGCCTTGCAGTTCTTCAGGCAAATGCACACCAATGGGATTTGGCTTCTCCGGTCTGTTGCCCAGGACATGTGTTCAGCTGCGTTCAGCTTCACTGATGCGTACGCCTGCCTTGCAAAACTGTGTCACCAACAGAAGCTGGCAAGATTTCACCTGGAACCAAGCTACCACTATTGGCACCATTTCGGGGTGGAGTACCGCCAGCGTTTGGAGAATGGAGACACCTACATATACAGTTGTGCATGTGATTGCTGCGAAGCTGACGAGGACTTTGTGGGTAAGATTGCAAAAATCTCAAAGGCTGTGCACGCCAGCACCGTTTCTTTGCGGGTTTTGGAACGGTACCTGCTCATGTGCAGAGCGGTGTTTTCCGATGATGACCTCCTCACTATCACAAGCTGATTGGATCTAAGCCCGGCACACAGGTTGGACCGCAGGAAAATCAGCGGCGGCCCGATTTGAGCAAACAAGAGTGAAACGATTCATACCAAAAGACCTTTTTTTGAAAACATGATCCCATAAATTCATGAATGTACCCAAAATCAATGCCTCAAATGCATGTACCCAAAAACGAAGGAACACGGAGGGTTCAGGTAGGCATATATTGCATAGTATTGTTATGTTATAATGTTACTTTGTTACTTACGTCCCAGTGTCAATAAGTGAAACTCAATCTCGTGTCGTGTCAACTTGATTCTTTAAGTCTCTAAAGGTCTGGAGATATGCAGTCATTAGGACCATCCTCCTTCTGCGATTTTGACAAAGCTCCTAACATGAAAAAACATCCAGAATCCTGAGTCAATCAATGAAAGAGGAGGAAACCCCACTGCCAAATCCAAAGTCTGGTGCTCAGAAGCTCTGGTGACTCCAGACTTTGTTCTGAACAAAAACAGTACAGTATATAGGCCATCATGGGCCCAGTCCATCTATCACCAGAAACCACCCACACACACACACAAAGAAATCAAACATGTGCTGTGCCTTTGTGCCGTGCATGCTACGGTACGGGTCCCTCTCCTCAGCGGCACCCGTGTGCGAGTCCGTGCTGTGCTCGGTCTGCTCGAGTTCCGTGAGGCGCCGAGAGAGGGCGGCCAGCGCGCCGAAGAAGGGGATGGACCAACAGCTTTGGTTCGTCAACATCCTCAGTGTGCGATGTGTGGTTCGCTTCGCTGAGCACGACTCGTGTGGGATGATGAACGGCGAAGGGTTTAGGGTGGAAGTCTTTCGCACTCGTTCAGGCAGAAGTCGAGAACTCGTCGAGACTCGTTCCCCCAAAACAGGTGTTTTGCGATGTGGCTTGGGCTTCACCATGCTTCACGTCAGCCTGGGGTGAGCTTGGTGGAAGATCTTTGAAGGGCTGGCATCCGGGTCTGCTCCGTTGGACCGTCGATCTCCGTTGGCCATCCGTCCCACTGTCGCACTAAAAGGAGTAGGTGCGCTTGAAAGAGAAAACGTTAAAGTGGTCCCCGGCATTTTTTCACGCACATGAAGGCCTACCCCAAAGTAAAGTAAATCTATAGATTATGTAATTAGGATACATGAAGGATATTTCAGGAGCCTTAGCTATTTAGTATTAAGCATCTTTAGATCTATGGATTCGATGCACATCCTGCATTAAAGCGATTGTTTTCTCTTTTTGTTGCAATCCACTCTGACCCTCTCCCTCCGTGTCGGTTGCGACCTCTGCGTGCTCGGCAGGCCGAGCCGCGTAAACCAAGAGACTCGCAACGTGGCCAAGATCCGCTGCCGGCGAAGCAAGGGGTGCCCGCGCTCGTTTTGCAGTGCAGAGGCCAGTTCTGGGGGGCTAGCAAAGACTAAGGGGATCAAATCCGCCAAGACGAAGACATACTTCATGGTGTACCTGAAGCAAGACGTTTTCTTTGTGCCACGTGTGCTTTTCCCGCTTCATGGTGTGTGTCAGTCTTTTGCGTTTCACTCCACATTGCACCTGGAGGCTTCTCTCCGCCGTGCTCCTGGAGAAATTAAACCTGATATTAAGTTTCCGCCTAAAAATGTAGGAACCAAATTTAATCGTGCGAGCGCCCCTTCAAGGAAGTCCCCCCGACCTCAGGCGAGGAGCATCCAGTACCTATACTCGATGAAGTAGGCGCCTAAGCCTACTCAATTTAGTAGGGGGCAGAGCGGGCTAAACGAAGAAAACAACAAACAAGTCCACATTGCACCGGCTTGACATGGGTTCGCTGGGCCTTGTTCTGGGAACAAGAGTAGCCTGGTCATTGACATTTAGATGATAACGCATTGTTTGTCATGTTTGTTGTCCTTTTCTTTAGCCCTGGATGGGAGCAGGCCTCTAGAAGAGGTAGCTAGTAGCTTAAGTAAGTTTAGCATTAATCATTTGGTTCCTTGATGTTTATGGAAGCTTAGGTCTTGAAACTAAAAATGCAACTGTTTCACAGTTTGTTGTGGCACACGACATGCACTTGGATTCCTCCGGATTCCCAGAGTGTACATGGGGCATTGATACCCAGCACATCTTGGATCAAGTCTTAGGACATTAAGCCTTGAGCTTCTCACACATCTTTTTCAACATTCCTCGGCATTCCTCTGCATTATTCATGGGGTGAGCTTCTGGGTTTGCGAACCATGTTCTTTTGAACAAGACTGTGAAATCGTGTGAACCCGATCAAACTCTGTTTACACCGCCCAACCAAGAAACTCTTCTACAGCCCACTCATCTTCAGCACTCAGCTCGTACTCTACATTTCCATCCTCATCGCGAAGGACCTGCCAAGAGAAAAATCCTTGTGCTGAAAACCATGTCTTTGCGGGTGCGAACATAGCAATCATCAAACATATACACCCTAAACCTTGAATTCTTTCAAAGCTCACCAAGTGTAAACAGCTCTGTTTGTGGCTCTTTTTCGCCCCCCCCACACCGCGGTCGTGACACGCTCGCCAAGCTCGCTCGCCAACCGCCTTCACGTAGCCCGCATGCATCACGCGGTTGACGTTCTCGGCCACCTCTTGCATGAGCTTCAAGGCTGCCTGGTGGGGCACGGTCTGTTGAAACAGTCGGCATCCCCAACCCGGCGACCCCGAGTCACCGCCGAGTCCCAAAACCAACTGCGAATCGGAGATGGGCTGGAGATGCCGAGAGTCGCAACTGGATGGCCATTTCTACTAGAAAAGAGCGATACCTCGACCAATCTGTACCGAGGGAAGCCAATGTTGTTCCAAAAGGAAAGCTGTTTTTTTGAGGTGTGGAAGCCAATGTTGTCACAAACTGTCACACAGCCCTAGCCTAAATCTCTTCAATCCAGGTGGACAAAGAAGCTCGGGAAGGCTTGCAAATGGATGTTGATGTTGTCTGGATGTGAAGTTCTACAATGTCAAAGCAGTTGCTCTACTGTCTAATCCAACTAACTAACCAACGGGAGGATTTCCCTACTTTGTCACTGTATAGATATATAATTACATATTGTATTTTATACTATATATATATTATATACTATATTATATATTTATGTAATTACTTATATGTGTGAACCAGGTGAACCACGTTCTGACGCAATCCTACTTAACGACAATGATTTGACATGCTCGCGATATGTTGTGATTCAGGTTGTACATCTTGGACGCCTCTCTCCCTCAGGGTTGCCGAGTTACAGAAAGCAGCTCAAAGTTGAGGGAGTTGAAGTCTACCTCAGCCATTGCTGGCAAAACTGCTTCTGCTTCCTCATCACTCGCCTCACGTCTCAAATGTTTAAGATTCCCCACAACCCAAACCACTATTCACTCCAAACAGACCTTCACTTCCAAAAGCTTCAGCTGTGACACCGTAGGCCCCGCAAAGGCCAGCTCCAACTTCTGCTTCGCCAAGCGCAGCTTCTCCGCTGCTCGCCACGGTGCTTCACGTCCGTCCGCAACGTCCGCGGCGGCTGTCCAGGCGCAGGCCGCGGCAATCCATGCGCAGCCCATGGGCACCACGCGCCCGGTGCGGGCGCGGCCGGGCGCGCGCCCGGTGTAATCGATCAAGCCATGTCGGGTCGCCAGGGGTCAAAGGTCCAAAAGATGTCAAGAAAGTGTTCGTGTGATTCGCAGTTGATGGATGTCTATACTCTATACCATTCTATACCCGCTATTCGGGCATGAAACGTATAGCAACTGGGGAGCTCTCTCCCAGCTACACAGCTCACGTCGCTATGGAAGCGACCGGATCCACCGTCGGCTGCGGATCTGCGCGAGCGAACGATCGGAGCCCGGTCCGTCTCCCGGAGACGAAAGGAACAGTGGAACAGTGCGGTGGGTGAGACGATTGAGCATGTGCATCTGAAATGCCATGAAGGACGCATCAAATGATGAAACATTCGTCATTTCGTAGGAAGAAGACGTGAGAAGACCCAAGCATCACAAGTCTCACATGTGTTCGCACATATCCCAGTTTGAGAGACGTGGGAACCACGTCTGTTGGCGAACATTTCAATATCTGTCCACAGTGAGAAGTCTCTAACACATCACAGCTCAGCCAGCTTGGTTCTTGGAAGCCTGGGGCCCCCCAAAACCAACATGGTCCAATCTGAGTGTTCCAAGCTCAAGCGTCTGTGTGTTCATTGAAAGCGGCACGTTCATCAGTTCTCCCTCAAGTCAGTTCTCTCAGATTTGTATGACCTGTATCTGACCTTCTGCAACTGCTTTGCTCAACCAGCTCAGCGTCCTGTATTTCTGCAAAGCCGCCTTGCTATGATCTATGCGCTCCTCTAAGCTCCTCCTGCCACGAACCAGCGACGAGAAGAGGGTGTAGTATTCATTGTGCTGCACGGTTGGTTCCCAGAGTGCACGGTGTTAACCCGTAAACGACTGAATTACGTTTTTATCTGGTGATCTTGAAGAAATCACACATAATCACACAACCTCTGCAAACTTGTTCAAAATGTCATAGACTTGTTCTGCAAAAGATCGAAAAGTGAAGTCTGCGGATTTCTTTTTCATCCCTTCCAGAGCAAAGCTTTACAAATCAACTGCTGCCAAACAGCTTTCATTCAAACCGGCACGTTTCAACCCTTTCCACCTGACCAAAAAGAAACTTGCACACATAGTCAAATTGGAATTTGACACTCAATAAAGACTGATCAGAAATCAGAAATGTCCGCTACTTGTTCCTAAAGGGCATAACCCGCGCTTGCATCTAGTTTTGCAGTTGTCAGAGTACTACAACGCCCCCAGCTACTACTACTGCTACTGCTACTGCTACTGCTGCTACTACTACTACTACTACTATATCTACTATATCTACTATATACTACTGCCACTACTGCTTCTACTTCTACTACGTCTACTACTACGACTAATTAGTGCTACTGCTCCTGCTACTCCTTACAACGACTATGGCTACAACACCCACCAAGACAAATGCTCATGCCACTACATCCAGAAGCTGCAAAAGGATAACAAACGGGTGGTAGCAACCGCAAACACTGACAGCGCCGTGATGACTGCGCAGTTGCGGAACGGGACTTTGATGTCGGTCACCAGCATGCTGGGATCCAACGATTCATTGTCGACTGGACGAACGCTTTGCGTCGACATCGGAGCCGCTCCCGTCGAGGTTTTTGTGCTGTTTAGACCTGGTTGGACCCAACTCCACTCCTTTGCCACCCTTCGTGGTTGACCTGCACGCACAAGCGGCGCAGGTATTTGGATCGACCTTTTGGTGTGGGGTGCATGGAGTGTATGAGGGCTTCTGAGAAAAAAGCATCTTCTACAAGAACAAATGGACAACACCTTCCCATGTGCATGAGGTCAAATCAAGCCCCTCCGAAGTTCAAAAGCTATTCTTTCACTGTCACATGTCCGGAGTATTCACCCGGCACGGCATCAAGCTGCATGAATATGGAATATGGGTACACTAGGTTGCCACTGGTAAGGGGAAAGCAACGCCGAATTAAAGCCTCCACATCCTCAACTACAGCCTCATCTATCTCTTGTCTCCAATCTGGATAATCCTCCTACTTGAAGAGCTCAAACTTCATAAAGGACCATTTCACCCGTGACCATGGGTCACGGGACCTACCGACCCCACCGCGTGCCTTCTCTTTGCTCTCGACCTCGGACAAACTGCTGCCACTGAGGCTGTCCTGGCGGCCGTGGCGACGGCTTGCGACGGCTGTCCAGCGGTTCCGGCGGACGGGTCCCGACTAGATGGCCAACGCAGTGACCCAACCAGACATGGTATACACCGGTCCATGTCCGGTCCCACGTGTGCTTTCCGTGTGCGCCGGACCGAGTCCCGATGTGTGGCGCAAGCCGCGCCGAGAGTCTGGGCTCGGACCGGTGCGGTGTGACAATCGGTATCATGCTGTCTCGACTCAGAAGAAACATTGAATGTGTGCTTGAATATACTGTACTTGAATACTACCAGGTTGGAAGCCATCGCTTCTAGGTTGGAAGCTATGCTTGAATACTCTTAATTACCTGCTGCAACGGATCCAAGAGCGAACACTTGGCTAGACTCGAGGACAGGAGGCGAGAGGCAGTCGTCACAGGATGCTATGTGGTGTCAATGCCAACCCCTGTACACACTCCATGTGTGGCATGTTGATAATTACATTGACCCCGTTTCAAGCACCCCAATGCAGGCAAACATATATTATATATATATCGATACATGACCCTTCGTCCCTGAAACACACGTCGACCCAAATACAGCCGTCGACCAGAAACACCGACAAGGCTGGTTCGACCTGTCCGCTTCGATTTGGGGAAACCATGCCCCTCCCCTCCAAAGGTCTCCAGGCTATTCACTGACTCACCTGGGATGATTTCTCGTGTACACCACTTCGGAAGGCTCGTCTACGAATACCCCCGTCCACACGCAGGACCTGATGGGACCTGACAGGTTTCCCGCCTCATCTACCAAGCGTGGTGGAGCGGGTAAAGCCTGGTCTTTGACATTCCACCGAAAATCCGGGCAGCACCAGGCAAGGACAAAGAAGGATGTGGAGTTCTTTGGGCAGCACCACATGTTGACACTTCTGAAGGGTGCACCTCACTTGAACGTAACTCCGTTCATCCGGATTCCATGCAACATCTGGCATCTTCCAAAGATATGTCTGTCAGTCACAAATCAAACTCCAAAGCATGATAGTAATAGTCAACACATGAAAGGCCTCCTACAATGTGTAAAGGTTTATGCCGCCTGTTGCAGAAAAGTTTAAAAATCACCATATCATCAGGATTCGGTCGGCAAAAGGGAAAGGACGGAAACACGTATAGCTCATGCATTCCACGCTACTAAGCAAGGACACTAATAGCTCCTGGCATTACTATAAGAAGCAAGAAGCCACTAGTAACAAGGGCATCGCTATTAGTAGCCAATTTCCCAAGTTCCGTCGGCCCCGGTCGTCGGGCTCCACGGTGCTTCCACTGCGCGCCACGGTCGTTCCGCGCGCCACCACGGTGTGAGCTGACGAAGCCACACCGAAACGGCCGCCACATGGTTGCTTCGCCCCCTAAGCCTTGGAAAAAGAAAAACTAATGAACAAGAGCATAATATCATGATAATACAAAGCCCAGGAAAAACTCTATGGAGTACAACAATGAACTTTTGGACTTGCCGTGTTTGGACTTTTCAATGTCATTTCTGTTTATACCCCACATAGAACACCCCATATGGAACACCACCCGGGTCGACCGTTTTTGAGATGGACAGGCGGTCCAACGCTTCGTATCCGGTCATGGACGTCGGCGCCTCAAGCTTCAAAGAATGCTGGAGTGTCCGTGCCTGGCGCCAAATGGATCTATATGTATGGCATTCAAAGATGTCCAAGTTGTGCTTTGGGTGTTTGAACGTGTTTGCAGTGGTGTCTTCTCCCCTCTGAACCCGAAATAGCTTTGGGAGTCTCTATGTTTGGGTGTTTCATGGTGGTTCTTTTCGGGAGTCGTTTTTGGGGTCTGAGATGGTCGGCAGTGGTGTCCGTTGTCCTTCGGCTCAAGCATGGGTACCTCCGAGACCTCCGAGACCTCACAACCGAACTCTCGCAGCATCTAGTCTCATCGGAAGAACAAAACCTGGAAGAGAATGTGTGGAACATGGAACATGGAAGGTCCCTGCCATGGAACATGGAACATGGAACATGCAACAAGACCTGAAACATGGATTCTCCAACTGAAAAACACCTGGAACGTCCCAGGCCGCTGGTGGCAAACACGCGTCGGGGCCACTCGGAAGGGTCCATCTGCCGTCCTCCAGCTCCGACCACCTGAGACAAAGAGCGCAGCTGAGGTAGGGTCAAGGTGTTGTTCCTTTATTCGTGTGTTTACTTAGTTTACTTGCTCTGTTCTTATCATTTATCCAGGTGGTTTTGGTTGAGATGTGCTGGAATGCTCGATGTTGTGCCAACTTGTGGTTGGTTGGTGAGATGCCATTCATCAAGACTGGGAGGGTTTTGAGGAGGAAATCGAGGTGAAGCAAAGCGTAAGAATCAATGCACTGGCTGGGAATAGTTGCTGGATGTTGCTGGAATAGAGTTGGTTTCACAACATGTGCGAGTCGTGGAGCCCGTGGAGCCGTGAGACTGACGACCATCCACCAGAGGAGTCTGACGACTGCATCCAATCAAACGTGTTAACATCCTGAATAACACATCACTGCTGCTGGGCGTGAATGTCCGAACGACAACCTAGCTACAAGAGCCAAAAGCATAGCATAGGCCGCTCATGTTGCATCTGAAATGGCTCAACAAGGATATCTCAAGAAGAAACAGTTGATAGAAGGAGGATCAAACTCCAACAAGTCACGACTACCCTGGTACATGATTTTAGATACAACATGATGCAACATGGTTTTTCCAAGTGTTTCGGAATGAAAAGAAAGAACAAGATTAAAAAAAGAACAGAACATCCGATTCCTAGAACATCCAAGAAGCCCTTGATGTGTTCCCCCCCCCAAAAAAAAAATAAAGGTCTAAAGGAAAATTAGT